GCAGCTACTTCTCGACAGCAAACAGATTTGAAGCCAGAAGCTGCTGCGTCGCCTTCGACTTCTCCGACTCATTACGATTTACGGTTTGAACCGCTGCAGACTCCCACGCCACTGCAGGAGGAAGATATCTCCACTTTGGTGATGCTCTTCCTACCCCCGGAGACTGCGCGCGATGCCACGTTCGATTTCTATCTTAACGCTCCAATGACTCCCACGACACCCCACGACTGGTCTTCCTCGACTAGTACTGGCGGAATAACTCCACCACCGCCTGAAGGCATGCAGTTCTGACCATTTATCAAGGCCAGCGCACCACGCAGAACGAAATTGCGTAGATACCTTTTATTTAAGAAATGAAAATGTGGTTTAAGCTATATTTGCTGTTTGTTTTCTCTTTACCGGTACATGAAAACCCATTTACCGAGATGAAGTTTTTCGACCCAGTAGCTCGCTCCTATCCTTCTTCCTTGTAGAGGTGGTGAGTACAGCGGTCATTACGGACGCATTCGAGCGTTATTGAATCGTTGCCGTCGTGTGAGGCCATCGCTAGTTTCATCTTAGTCTTATTCTTCGATAATCATTTCGGTGGTGGTCGTCATCTCGCGGTCATTGTTTGGCGCGCGTTCGCACACACATGCAGCAAATTGCTTCGTGGATGCAAACGGCCCTAATTAGTCGCTGAGACGCACTCGATTAAGCCACCATCGGGATTGTAAGCTGCTCTCAGAGGTTGAAGCAGCTATGAATGTCATTCATTGAATGACAGACATGTACATTGTACATTGTACAACGTTATTAATACATGGGTCGCACATGGCTTGCATATCAAGTGTCTCGCCTCAAGGTGTACTGAAAGACGACCGAAGCAAGTCTGAGGTGGAAGACCTTAGTAAGCTATTATACTTGTCTGAAAAAATTATTAATACTTTCTTTGCCGATATTTGACGGCATGAGCAAAATTGTAGCGCCAAAGAGCCCAGTTCGGATGAGCGGCCCGCTCAGCGGGCGCAGCTTAGGTTCAAGCCCCTGAATGACACTCATTGAAAGAGTGCCTCGCCCCCTGTCTGCAATCCGAGGCTGGATTTTTCGTCTTTGTGAAGCTGATCCCTACAGTACATGTATGTACTGTACTGTACATGTATTACCGTATAGAGTCGCTGGAGGAGACCAGCAGTGCTGGTCCAGCACAAGCGACGCGAAGGAAGAAGCCGTGTCGCGACACAACGAAGAAATCAGGTGTCGCGAGCACATTCGACTGAGCGGTGCAGCGACGGGATCTGTTGAGCCGACTTTGGTTGAAGCATGGCAAGACGCCGGAAGCGCGCCACGCGGGTCGGGGTTTCAGCGAGTTTAGCGCAGCGCTATGATACGATCGGTGCCATACTGCTGGGAACTTGGACGGTGGCTGCAGGCTGGCATTATTAAAACGGAGCTATTAGCAGCCAAGCTATAATCGCACATGGGATATCATCGCGAAGCAGCCAGATCATGTTCGATCACGACGCCGCGTCCATCTCACCGTGACCGATCTTGAAACCGACCGGCTTCTATAGTACAGCCTATTGGTGATAACAGGGTAATTATTCAAGACAGGTTCATTTTACTTTTGTCAAATAAATCTAAGAAATGAAAGCGCATTATTTAGTCTAACAGGCAAATTGTGTTTTGGATGACAAACCATTTTGACAGTGGCACTGGTGACTTTGGAACCCGATCGCGTCGACGGTCGAGCAGACGGGCCGCTGTGGATACGCTGGGACTCCTCGCGAGTCCGAGTCAACACCAAGTTTTCGATCTCCAGCACCA